AATCACTTAAATACAAATAGATTCTCATTATGTAAGATTTAGACAATCAAAAGTACAAAATCTGAAAGTCCCTTTTCACTTCTGTCTACCACTTTTTTCTCATTTACATGTAATCATTGTCATTAAGTTGGGATGTGTTCTTCCAGCTCACTTTGTAGACTTTTACACGCACACGCACAGACAAATATACACACACAGGCTATTTTTTTATATATAAAAAACAGGCTTGACAAATATAGTCCAACTTATTAACAATGGTTACTTCTAGATGGGGAAGAAATAGTAGAGAGGAGGGAAGGGGCTTTTCAATCTTTAGCCATTACTACCAATTCTGTTTAATCATGACTTACAAACATATTTATATGAAGACTACATCAGCAAGACACAAAACCCAGCAACTATAAATGAGAATATTGATAGATTGACTATGTAAAAATATTATACTGTATCAGTCAGGGTTCCACCAGATAAGCAGAACTAGCAGGGAGAATAATTATAAATATAAATTCAAATTTAAATACATATATATAGATATAGATAGATATAGATGCAGATAGATATATATAGATAAAGATGTGTGTGTGTACACATACAGACACACACACACACATATGGACTAGCTTGTGTGATTGTTGGGGCTTACTAAGAAAGTCTGAACTCAGTAGAGAAGGTCTTTAAAAAGGGAACATCATAGTGTAAAACTTCATATTCCTTTGGGAGAAGCCTCAGTCCCACTTTTAAGGCTTTTCAACTGATTTAATCAGGTTTACTCAGATTATTTAAGATAATCTCCCTTATTTAAGGTCACCTGAATAAGGACTTTAATTATATCTGTAAACTACCTTCACAGGAAAACTAAGACTAGATGTTTAATTAAATAATTACATATTGTAGCCTAGCCAAGGTAACACCTCACAAAAGTCATCACATATACAAACTAAAAATTTACATATAGCAAAAGACACTGTGAACAGAGATAAGCAACACGCAAGTAAAATATCTATACAATATAGGTAATAGACAAAGGATTAATATTCAGAACTTACTGAGTTCCCCCAAATCGGCAAGAAAGACAAGAAACAGTTGATAGAAAAATGGGCAAAGGATATGCATAGGCAATTTACACACAACATTTCATAGTCTGATGAAAAAATACAAGAGAATGCTCAAACTTACTACCAATTAGGGAACTGAAATGTAAAACAATAGCTAATTTTTCCTGATTATTTTAGCAAACATTTAAAATTATGGATAATATCAAAAGCAGGCAAAAATGCAGAGTAATGGGAACTCCTGCTAGGAATCTGTCCTTTCTTACTTTCTTTGTTAATCACTAAGTTCATAAATTTGATTGTTTATAGTTGAGTCTTCCAACTAAATTCCCTGATTCTTTTCTCCCTGAGTTCAGCTTGCATAGTACTAGTAGATACATCTGAATTCTCTCTTTTTCTCTTACATACACACAGACAATGCCTTAACATTATTTGTAACAGCCTCAGCCTGGAAACCACTAACTGTCTAACAACTCTAGCCTGGATAAATAACTTGTGATGTATTCATGCAACAGTTTATTATAATAAAGAAAGTGACTATAAACTACAAGAATCAGCGTGGATGACTCCTCAAAAATACTGTTGGGTAAAGAAGCAAAACAATGAAGAAAACATCAAGCATGATTGTATCTAAACAAAGATCAAAAATGGCAAAACTAAACTATCTTATTTAGCAATGCATACCTAGGTAGTAAAAACATAAAGAAACACAAAGAAATGGTTATTCCAAATATTTAGGTAGCAATTACCTTATGATTTGGGAATGGTGGATGTGGAGGGAGAAAGTTGTGATTTGGGAGTTAAACTCAGGGGATTTCTGGGGTGCTTTTGATCTTAGACTTCTTGACTTTGATGGCAATGACATGTTAAACAGAACATACATGTTTTATGTTTTCACTCTATTTGGTTATAGTTAATAATTTTTTTAATTTAAAAATACCACAAGGGAACTTCCTGAGGTGCTGGTAGTTTTCTATTTCTTGACATGAATGGTGATTGCATAATGTGTGATTAAAAAAAGTAAATTTACTTAAAATTTCCACACTTTTCTCTTTGTTCTATTTGGCTAAAAAATTGTAAAAATAAAGTAGATAAAAAACCTTTATGAATTACTCCCTGCCTACAGAATAAAGATCAGACCCCTAACCTTTCAAAGTCCTCCATATATTGACTACCAGAACCTTTCTAATCCTAACTCCCACTACTGCCTTCCGTGGAAACCAATAATAATAATGATAGCCCAAAACAAATTAAAAAAACCCCCCAAAACCCCAACCTTCAAAACTGCAAACAAAATTAAAAAGTCCACAAAGACACTAATTTTACTAAATTTCCTGTAACAAAAAACTTAACCTTGCTTCTTTTTATTCTTTATTTGAAGGATTTTGAATTGCCTACCACATGTTTTCCTAAGATGAATCAGAGGAGGATGACATGCTTGCTTAGTCTTTGATGATAATGAATATGTGTTTACACGATTGTCAGAAAGAACACATTTCTCCCAAGTTGTTACCTAACTGGTATTGTGTGTTTAGATTAAGAATTTTCTTTCTGATTTAAACCAGCTAAAGACAGTTTTTTAAAGGACATATATATATGATGTTAGATACTGGTTTGTGCCCAATAAAACACAGTGAAAACTAAATAACCCAAATCAAGCCCAGACTATCAGCTTCACACTTAGTCATAGTTAACTTCACACCTAAATGCCATTGAAAAGAAGCAGGGCCAAATATTCCTGGAAAATGGGACTCTGAGGTTCACAGACGTTTGCTGCAAATACCTGAGCCCCATGCTTTGGGGAGATTTCACCAAGAAGATTGATGTGCAGCTTCCAGGGGAAGGAATGAGGGAGGGGCAGGATGTGGTCATGGTGAATCAGAAGCGGCCCTCCTTCCCCACCCCTCTTCTGAGTCAGCATGCAGCCACACGGCCCCACATGGTGCAGTTCTGGCTCTCGGATGAGCTGTCACACGGGGTCCTCCCTGCCTGCCTTCACTACAGCACTTGGTGATTTCCAGCACCGTATTTATCATATAAATAGTTTTGTTCTGTCTATAAATTAGTCAAGCAATCCGTTTTTGAATCTTTCTGGTAGTGACACAGTGACGTGAGGTGGTGTTGGGTTTGCTTGTTGTTGAATTTGCTTGCCTCATTTGGTCCTTAAAATGGCAAAGTAACATCCCCCGTTTGTAGACAGCCTCGCAAAAATTTGAGCCCCTGGTTTTGGAACCAAGTCAGCTGGGTTCAAATTCCCACTTGCCACCTTCCAGACCTGGGATTTTATAAGTGCATGTATTCCTTTTTGCCTTAGGGCATGAAACATGTGCTCAACACTTGGTTGCTGCAGTGGGAACTGAGAGTCATTCTTGCTGGTGGTGCTGGTGGCAGAAGTTACGGCAAGCTCCCACAGAGCAGTGGCTGGCTCCAGTGCCCGTGTCTGGGCTCCAGGGCTGGCAGTGTGGCAGAGTGGGCCACACTCACCAGTGCTGGGCAATAAAACAGCGTTTTGTTTTTTTTTTAATTATTGTTATTATACTTTATGTCCTAGGGTACATGTGCACAAAGTGCACGTTTGTTACATATGTATACATGTGCCATGTTGATGTGCTGCACCCATAAACTTGTCATTTACATTAGGTATATCTCCTAATGCTATCCCTCCCCCCCGTCCCCTCCCCACAATAGGCCCCGGTGTGTGATGTTCTCCTTCCTGTGTCCAAGTGCTCTCATTGTTCAATTCCCACGTATGAGTGAGAACATGCGGTGTTTGGTTTTCTAAAAACAGCATTTTCACATTGGACCAGCTCCATGACTTCATTTGGGGTATTGTTCATGGCTACAGGGTCCTCACATTGGCTATCCTGGCAAATCTGGGAATTCTGCAATGCCCTTTTAAGCACATTCCCTTTTGCTTAAACCAAACTTGGTCTCTTTTAAATGTAGTAAAAGATATTGACTGATAGAGTGACCTTGTGAAAATTTACTTTCTCATCTATAAAATAGCTTAATAATAGCCATCTCTAAGAGTTATTGGGAGATTTCAATATATTAATGCATGCAAGTATTCAGTGTGGTGTCTGGCACTAAAATATTAGTTATTAATTATTAATAATGTGCTGGGCACAGGAAGAGCATTGGACTCTCTGTAATGAGAGTGTATCTTGTTATTGGGAGGGTCTCTCTGTTTCAGGGTTAGGAATGATAGGATTAAAAATAATTTGGGAATTTTTATGACTCATGACTTTATGGTTGGTTGATTTAGGCAACCATATAGCTTTCGTTTTACTTATTTAATTTGAATTTAATTTATGGACTTGTAAGGGCATAAATAATAGTTTTACAGCTTGATTTTGACACAAAGCAAGATACTAAACATTAACAACACCACAGAGGCCTACTTGGTGCTCCTGTCCCTGTTGTTACTTCCTCCAAAGGTAACCACAGCACAGATTCCTATTACTATAAATTAATGTTGCCTGTTTTTGAATTTTATTTGAATGAGATTACATAGTATATACTCTTTTTGTTGCTAAATGTTATAGCTTTGAGATTCATTAATGTTTTTATAGATAGATATAGTTTTCTTCATTGCTAAATTGTATTCATGATACATATATACCACAATTGATCTATTCTATTGTTAATGGGTAACATGGTTTGGCTCTGTGTCCCTACTAAAATTGCATGTCAAGTTGTATCCCCAATGTCAGAGGAGGGGCCTGGTGGGAGGTCATTGAATCATGGGGACGGACTTCCCCCTTGCCACTCTTGTGATGAACTTCTCACAAGATCTGTTTGAAAGTGTGTAGCACCTCCCACTTCACTCCCTCTCTCTCTTCCTGATCATGTGAAGACTGTGCCTGCTTTCCCTTTGCCTTCTACCATGATTATAAGTTTCCTGAGGTCTCCCCAGGAGCAGAAGCCTATATAGCCTGCAGAACTGCAAGCTGATTAAAACTCTTTTCTTTATAAACTACCCAGTTCCAGGTATGTCTTTGTAACAGTGTGAGAATGGACTAATACATGGGCATTTGGATTGCTTCTAGTTTGGTGCTATGGAGAATAATGTGCTAGGAATATTCTCATTCTCATAACTATTGTTTTGTGCACACATGTATGCATTTCAGTTAGGTTTATACCTGCAGATTGAATGACTGAATCATACGGTGCACATATGTTCAGCTTTACTGGCAACAAAATTTCCAAAGTAGTTTTTACCAATTTATACCCTCAAAGCATCCTATGAGTTTCTATTGCTGTATATCCTCATCAATACTTGGTATTGTCAATCTTTTTAATTTTAGCCATTCTGGGGTGTGTGTAGAGATATCCTATTTTGTTTTCAATTTGCATTTTCTGGATAACTAGTAATGTTGAGTACCTATTCATGTTCATTGGCCATTTGGATATCTCTTGTAAAAAGCTGTTCAAGTTTTTTCCCCGTTTAGAAAAATATCGAGCCTGTCTTTTTTATAGATTTACAAGAGGTATTTACATAGTCTAGATATGAGTTATTTGTGTGATTTAAATATGTCAAATATCTTCTTCCACTTTGCATCTTGCCTTTTCATTCTCTTAATGGTGTCTTTTGATGAATAGAAGATTTAAATTTTAATAAGTCCAAATGATCAGTAATTTTATTAGGCTAGTACATTTTATTTTAATTAATATACTTTATTTTTAAAGCAATTTTAGTTTTACAGAAAAATTGAGCCAAAGAGCAGAGATTCCCATGTACACCCGCTCTTCCAGTTTCCCTATTAATTTGTGTCTTGCATTGATGTGATACATTTGTTACAGTTGATGAACTGATATTAATACATTGTTGTTAACATAAAATCCATCTCTTCTTATATATTTATAAATATCCTGTTGGTTCTGTTTGTCTGGAAAGCCCTGATTTATACACCCTGGCAACCACTAATCTTTTTACTGTCTCCATAGTTTTGTCTTTCCAAAATGACATTTGTTGGAGATATACATATTTAGCCTTTTAGACTGGCATCTTTCACTTGGCAATATGCATTTAAGTTTCCTCTGTATCTGTGTGTGGATAATTTTTTCTTATTGTTCAATAATATTAATATTACATTGTAGGGATGTACCACAGTTTGTTAATCCATTTATCTATTGAAAGACATCTTGGTTGCATTCAATTTTAGGCAATTATTAATAAAGTTCCTGCAAATATTCATGTCAAATTTTTGTGTGAACATAAGTTTTTAACTCATTTGGGCAAATACATAGGAGTATGATTGCTGGATCATAAGGTGAGACAAGGTTTAGCATTGTCATAAAATTCCATTTGTCTTTCAAAGTGGCTGTACCATTTTACAATCCTACCAGCAATGAATAAGAGTTCTGGATGGATGTGTGTGTGTGTGTGTGTGTGTGTGTATGTTTGTGTTTGTGTTCTATATATGTATATATGTATATGTGTGTCTGTGTGTGTATACGTGTGTGTATGTAAAACTTGATCCCTACTTCACATCAGATATAAAAATCAATTTCAGATGGATTGAAAGGTAAATCAGTAAAGGTTCTAGAATATAACATAAGGGAAGATACTGCTTACAATTTCCTTTAAAGCATTAACTTAAAAGAATAAAAAAACAAGTCACAGACTGAGGGGAAATATTTGTAAAACACGTACATGATAAAGATCTTCTATCCAAAATATACAAAGAACTCTTAAAACTCAACAGTAAGAAAACAAACAACCCCATTACAAAGTGGGCAAAAGACCTGAACAAACACCCACCAAAGAAGATATACAGATGGCAAATGGCATATCAACAGATATCCAACGTCATATGCCATTAGAGAATTTCAAATTACAACAAGATAACACCACCCATCTATTAGAATGGTTAAAATCCAAAACACTTTAATACCAAATGCTGATGAGAATGTGGAACAATAAATCCAGCATAATTTATTTAAAAGGTCATCCTTTTCCCACTCCATCATAGTAACCGTGTTGTTGAAAATCAGGTAACTGTATATAAGGACTATTTCTGGACTCAATTCTATCCTCTTGGTCTGTTTATTTTTCCTGGTGCCAATATCACTCTTTTGGTTACTGTAGCTTTAAAACAAACTTTGATAGCTCTAAGCTAATCTTCTTCACAATTCTCTTGGCTATTCTTGATCCTTTGCATTTCCATATAAAGCTTAGAAACAATTGGCCAATTTCCATACACACAGAGAGATAAACAAAAAACAGGCTGAGAACTTGATTGTAAATGTTTTGAATCTATAGATCAGTGTTATCAAAACTTTTGGTCTTGCGACCCCTTTACAATCTTAAAAAGTATTGAGAACTCTGAAGAGCTTTTTTTAATGTGAGTTATATCTATTAATTGTTACCACAATGATATGGAAAACTGAGAAAATTTAAACATACTTATTAAATCATTTAAAAATAACAATAAACCCATTACATGTTAAAATAAGTGAAAACATAAAGTGAAAACAGCTGTTTTCTAAAAGAAAAAAAATTAAGTGAGAAAAAGAACCTTGCTTTATGTTTCTGCAATTTTTTTTTTTTTTTTTTTTTTTTTTTTTTTAGATGGAGTTTTTCTCTTGTTGCCCAGGCTGCAGTGCAGTGGCACAATCTCGGCTCACTGCAACCTCCACTTCCCAGGTTCAAGCAATTCTCCTGCCTCAGCCTCCCAAGTAGCTGGGATTGCAGGCATGTGCCACCATGCCTGGCTTGTTTTTACAAATTTTTTAAAATGCCCAGCTTAATGGAAAACAGTGGGATTCTTTTATTGCTTCTGTCTTTAATCCATTGTGATATGTTGTTTTGATTGCAGTACATAAAGAAAATCTGGGCTCAGGTATATGTAATTAAAAAGGAAAATGTTTTAGTAGTCTTTTTCAGAAAATGGTGAATCTTCTTCTTTGATACTACAATGAAACAGAAAAAGTGATATTTTCTTAAATTTTAAATGTAATGTTTGATACTTTAAAAATGGGTTTTAATTCCCTGGTGATTTTTTTTTTAATCTTCTCATTAATGTTTTTTCAAAATATCACAGTTATTTTAAAGTCAGTGTCTTATAACTCCAATGTTTGTATCACCTACGGTTCTGTTTTTAATTGTCTATTTTTTCTCTTTATTTTTGTTTGGCCCCAATTCCTAGTATACTTAGTAATTTTTTACTGATTACAAGAAATTTATTGAGAAAATTATAGAGTCTCTGAATGATGTAAGCTTTTTCAGAGAAGATTTAGTTTTTTCTCCTGGAGGGCAGGTAGAGTACATGCAGAACACTTTAATCTAGTTAAGGCTTTTCTATTTTTGAATTATTCTTACTCCTAGGGTATATCCCTTTCAGGGCCCTAATTGAAAGCCTGAAGTGTTTACTAGTGCCTCTTTTACTTGGTGGTTCCTGAATTCCAATTTTTGTTTCCTTGGTACCATGAGATTGCCTAAATATCTGCTTAGCTTTTTAGCTTCTTAGCAGCTGCTTTCTGTCTAGTTTCTGCCATCTTGCCCCATATGTGCTCATCTTAGAAATCAGGAAATGCTTCATATGAAAATTTGCATGCAGTATGTTGGGCTTACTTCTCTCTGTAACTCCCTTTTCTCCTGGAGTTGGAGTCTTATATTCTGGGCTTTCATTTCTCTTCTATGTGCAGAAAATATATTAAAAGTAAGAATAAAGTTTATTACAGAAATCAAATATGTCTTAATATTAGGAAATGTATGAATATGGTTCATCAAAATGTTTTAAAAATCAACAATCCTTTTTAATTATAAATGTTTTTCTTAGTAAACTGTAGCTTGATGACTGCTTTATCAACAGGACTTTAAAAAAATCTAGTTATCTATCCAAGGGATTGACAAATATGGCACATGGATCAGTCACTTGTTTTTGTAAATAAAGTTTTATTGGAACACTGACATGCCAATTTATTTATGACACCTATGGCTACATCCATGCTACAATGGCAGAGCTGAGTAGTTGTAACAGAGGTTGGGTCATAGCCTAAATCCTAAAATATTTACTCTTTGGCCCTTTAAGCAGATGTTTGCCAATCCTTTATCTATCTTAGGCAGTTTCCTCATCTATAAACTGGGGATAACGTCACCTTACTTCACCAGGTAATAAAATAATTTTATATCATTATATATATTTGTGTATACAGTTGACTCTTGAGTAACACAAGCTTGAACTGCACAAGTTCACTTGCTATGCAGATTTTTCTCAATATATTTTGGAAAATGCTTTGGAGATTTGCGATAATTTGAGAAAACAGATGAACTGTGTGAATTAAGAAAAAGTTAGATATGTTATGAATGCACATAATATGTGTAGACATTAATCTGTTTTACCATTTACTATCAAAATATGCACAACTGTATCATAAAAAGTTAAATTTTATCAAGATTTACATACACACTTATAGACCAAAAATGGTGCCATTTGTGGTGGAGAGAAGTGTAAACAAATGTAAAGATTCAATTTTAAGCAATAACTGCATAAAACTAATTGTAGTACATATTATAGTACCATAATAATTTGTTTGTTTGTTTGTTTTTTGAGACGGAGTCTCGCTCTGTCGCCCAGGCTGGAGTGCAGTGGCGCGATCTCTGCTCACTGCAAGCTCCGCCTCCCAGGTTCACGCCGTTCTCCTGCCTCAGCCTTCCGAGTAGCTGGGACTACAGGCGCCCGCCACTGCGCCCGGCTAATTTTTTGTATTTTTAGTAGAGACAGGGTTTCACCATGTTAGCCAGGATGGTCTGGATCTCCTCACCTCGTGATGCGCCCGCCTCCGCCTCCCAAAGTGCTGGGATTACAGGCATGAGCCACCGCGCCCAGCCTACCATAATAATTTTATAGCCACCTCCTATTGCTATTGTAGTGAGCTCAAGCGTTTTATCTGCCTAAAATGCTATGTAATGCAAATCATCTCCGTGTGAGCAGTTTGTCTCTCCAGTAAATTGCGTATAGCAGTAAAAAGTGGTCTCTTGTGAT